AGCTTACCAAATTGGTTTCTTGGTTGGATCGCTTTGAGACTCGTCTTTATCTCGTACATTGTTATTTCTATGCGGTCCATCCTTTCAGCCATTATTTTGCTTTGTTCTGCTTGGTGAATGGCGATGTCTGTTTGAGAACCTAACACGCTTTCAAGTTTTTCAAGTTGCTTCTTGATCCTATTGTTGAACTCGCTTTGCTGGTCAATATGATCACGAACCTTTTTGTTAACACCCGCAATTGTCGCTGGCTCACTCTTTTCGGACATGATGAGTGGTATGACAAGTTGTTCTTACTTTATTTTTTATTTTTTTTTTTGAAATTTGGAAATGAGGTTTACTCTTCAAAAATATATTTTTGAGGTTCCGAGCGCGCGTTGTATACTTAGTATACAATGGGTGTGGGTGTAAGATTGGGGTGATATCACATGGTGTCTCGTGGCTCCTAACTACAACGGATCTTGTGTAGAGCTTGAGACTAATACGTGAATTCTATATCCTTCAAGTGTCGGATGTCTATGTGTCTATATACATTGATTACTCCTTACTACTCAATGCTAGTAGATCTACTGCTGTGGTCGCGGGCTGTGACCACGGGCTCTGACAGTGCAATTTGCTGCGCGTGAGGTCATAGGATAATTACAATTACGTGTGTGTGTGTGTTTCCTACATCTAGCTAATTCGTGCCCTGTAGATCTATCCGGGATCCACAGTGTGGATCCCAAGAATCCTGGTCGTCTAAGTAAGCCGGGGGCAAGATCAGGCCTACGCTAAGACAAGGCAGACTGGGTTAAATGCCAGGGAACGAGAGCAACTATCAGTGCGTAGTAAAGAGGCAAATAGTATTCAGGGACGGCGCACGGTGTGTAAAAGGTGGCGAGGAGTTTAGGATTGTACTTAAATCATAGCATAGATCTCGGTGAAGGGACACGCAATCTAGTCTCAAGCTCTATCACATTCAAGTTGTAGTCAGGAGCCACGAGACACCACGTAACCATTGCACCATCTAGCCCTTTGTGATAATCACACCCCCAGTTTCCGATTAAAATTTAGTACACGCAAGAAACCTCATCAGCCTCGGCCACCACGCGCCCGAGCTTTTGACACCTTCGCGATCAGTGACTTTTCACTTCCTTTCAGTCCCAGCTTTGGCTCATCTCAGTATCTCCTCATCTCATCCAGGGATCGTTTTCTTCACTGGAGGCCTCATCCGGTCGCCCACCAAGGCCTCCTCAGTTTGTATTCCCTTTTAGTTCCTTCATACAGCATCCCTCTGTCCTTCAGCTGGTCTCGTCATCCCAGAAACTTTGTAGAATGTCCACCCCTCCGGCCTTGCCCTGTCGCTGCTGTACCCCTAACCATGGAGGTCGAAAACGTGACAGAGAGCTCAAGACCGAGGCACCGGTTCTCCAGCCTTTGTCGAACGCTCTAGTTGGTGTGACGGCGAAATGTCGTACGTATTTCGTCTGTGGTGATTCGTCGCAGGTCGAGTTGTTCGTGCCATTGGCCGAGGTGAGGGCGCAATTAAGACCAGTATTCCGACCATACCTTCACAGCGACTGGCAGTTGCCGAGGGTCGGACATCCTCTTGCTTCTTTGTTGGAGATTTGACTCTTGGAGGTATGGGATTGCTTTGGCAGGTGATGAGATGATTGTGGAAAGGGTCGCAAGATGAGTTTGGTTGGGAATAATTTTTCAGAGAAAAAGAAAATAAGATTATGAAGGCGTCGGTTCTTATGATACGAACATCAGACAGGTTATAGCCTGTCTTCTGTTTGTATCTGGAGTGTAGATGGTTGATTTCGTTGAGTTGTGCAGTCCTGAAATCTCTGCAAGTCGGGTTTTCGACCAAAAATGAGCCAAAACCACTCCTCCCGATCGCCAACTCAACGAAAACTCCCGAATTCACTCCTTGTCGTAACTGAATCTCGGGTCTGGTAGAATATTACACTTCTAAGTTCGTAGAGGACACCACTGACAGGTGTTCAGCCTTCGCCCTCCGGGAAGAAGTATGAAGGCAGCGTAAGGTAAAATACTCACGAAAGAGGCAGAGTTAAACTGAGTAAAAAATAAGATTAGCACAAGAACAGCGGTCTTCTTTAGAGAAGAGATAAGTATCTGAGTAAAAGGTGTCAGTGTAAACAGAGGACGTTGCGTGAAAAGAATACTCCTTCACGCTGGGTATATAAATAAATTAATTATTCATGTAATCTGACAAGGGCCCAAAGCAGTTTGGCATTGCAAATACGAAGTGGGCACATGGGGCTTAACTCGTATCTACACAGAAGAAACGTACCCGGAGTTTTAAGTCCAGGTTGTCCATGCGGCTCCCAATCACAGAACCCCAAGCACATGATTATGTCCTGCCCCCGATGGTCAAATGGTAGAGCTGAGATCTAGAGACAAGCCAAAGATCGATCCTACGAAGCGATGATAAATAATCCTGGAGACATAAAAAGGATAACACAGTGGATCCTAAACCATGGTTGGATAGAGCTATTCCAGATGATAAAAGCGGTCGAAATACTGCTGAGGGAAAGGAAAAGGTCAAATAATGCTGGGGGAGGATAGAGATGATCTGGTTGGTTTACATGGATGGCACTATAGTGTAACTGCGCTTCCTGAAGAAAATATGTGAAAACTAAAGACAACAAGTAGAAAGGTGCGGGGGGCTTTTCACCATAAAGGTTTCCTCCCGGGTAAATATTATAGACTGTTGACACCTGCATGGGCCCATAGGGCGCCAAATCAGGATAATGAAATCAAATTCAAATAAATTATTCAATTGTCCTGATTTGGTGCCTTGAGGCCTATGCAGGTGTTTATCGGAAGATATGTGCTTTAAGTAGGATGACTCAACTTCACGTTTAGAACACTCACACTCAGATTTCATATGCGGATACCACTCAATGTTAACCCTTGCGGCGTATAACCTCTTCCGTGCATACCCACCGCAGGGAAAAGCGCCAAAAACCTGTGTCTATCCAAGTGTACTTTCATCATCCCATAAGTACGATATCACCATGAGAGAGAGTGGTGTATGGGTCTTACAGGGTTTGAACCAGTTTTCTCTTGTCTCGTATGGGGTAGGTGATAAGCTACCTAGAATCTACTTGGGAGAACAGCCCGGATGGTGTACCACTGCACTACCCAGCCCAAGTCCGGTATCTGGCCCTTGATGAATAGCCATTCAGCCCAATATTTACCCGTGGAATTCAGCTACCTTTTCCACCGAACCTTTTAGCCAACATAATAAATTGGTAGTAATGGAAACTGCATGCGTAGAGAAAGTCTCATAATACCTACAACCCCAGCCAGGCAAGGCCTAGACACCGGGACCACATGAGGAGCGCATATTCATCCACATTTCCCTTTGTAACACTAGAGCCCGACGTGATCCAATCCACCATCACCGTATCGAGTGCTGGGTACGCTCCGGAAACTCATCAGATGGCTTCTCCATTTTATTTTTTTATTTCATTGTCCTGTCTGAGTCCATGACTATGTAGGGCGTGCAGGTCCTCGGTGCCTACAGGCCAATGATACCTATGCCAGTAGTATATCCCCTCCTATGCCTCCCATACAGCTCCCCTCAAACAGTACCACCCCTCACAAGTCCTCATTCGATCATACACTAAGAGGAGCCCTTTGCCCTTCATTATCTCCCCTCTCCAGCCAACGAAACGATGGCCATCTGCGGATGTATGGCAGCCGGGAAAAATTGTAAAAGCCACTGGGTGCGGAGCTATACTAATACCGACATTAGGACTAAATCCGAAGACATAGTGATCCTTCTGATGCGTTCGAAGGGGCCGGCCAGCTAGGCGCTGCAGACATGTGGGTACCTTGGAGATTCACACTCTGCCTTTCTAGCCTCCTTCCAACTCCTTCCCGAAGGTCGTGCCGAAATGTCAGAAAAGTCTTGATAGAGCGTGATAGCAGTATGGTAGCTTAGCCTAACTTCATTGGTGCCATCCAGGACGCTGGGGAGTGCCGTTGACTCATCGACAATAGAAGCCCTCCTGCCTAATTAGCCGAGATCTCAGTCGTGGCGCCCGCAAACATTCTAAAGTTGAAACCCCCTCGAAAATATCGGTCTCAGCATATTCTTCAGAGACTTGTTCCCCCTCTCGCTCCGCATCTCAAGCGCCTGTTATTCTCAAGTTGTTTGTCCCATTAGAGCAGCAGTCCTCCATAAGCTAAGACCCAGGCTTTCTATTTTTCGACTTCATTTTCTCCTTGTGGGTATAAATAGCGTCGTAAATATGTAGTGAGAGATGGCTAGAGATTAATGGGGCAAGCTCCTGTATGCAATTGGAGCAACTTCTTTATCCATCGTCGAGGCGAGATGATGCGTGGTTATAAAGAGGTTGAGGACTCAAATGAGTATGGTAAGAGAGGCATTTTGGAGAAGTTGTCAAATGGAGATATGATGGAGGTTGCTTTCGACTTGGATTCGGATGCGATTCTTCTCGGCTATCTCAGATATGCAGTGCATACTGAGCGATCACACCGGCACCACTGGAAGGTGAAGAACTCGTCTTTGCCGGCGGCGGATAAAGTTAACTATCTTGAAGTACAAGTTTGCCTTGTCTCATCCAATGGCCGTAACCATGCCGGTTCCCATCTGTGTGTCAAATCACGATGAGCTCAGCGGCCAAAAGTAAAATTCCAAGCATTTGACTGACCAAATACACCTAAACTTTTTCGTTCAATCGAGGCTACGACAATCAAACCCAATTCTATTTTACACACTACTATTGCTACTGCTATGGCTTATGGTCTGGGACTGAAGTATCTGGAATAGAGTTCCTCAATGATGCATTTTCTTTCTGTCTATCTTCGCTTCGGCGTCCATGTTGGTATCATTCAAGATTTTGGGACATCGCAATTTTTTGTAAGATATGAAGATAAATTTCTATTACAGAGTTATTCATGTGTCATAATACTCAAAGCTTTAAATATTGATCGTATCTTCGCATCAATGCTTTCGAGAACATGATTCAACTCCCACGGCCAATACATTTAGACCAGCCAGGAAGACCACAGCCGAACCCAACGAAAAGATACACCAGGAAGAGAATAACAACAATCAACAGAGCTATAAGTTTAACATTGTTCCACCACATTTTCCTTCTGAGACCTCGCGTCCGGATTCTAAAGTCGTAAGCATTGCCTCCGAGTCTATTTGTCTTGTCAATCAGGAGGTCAATTCTTTCACCTCTTTCCAATAAGCTGTCAATATTTTGACACATAATTCCCCTGACACTATCAATTTCTTCTCTAACGTTTCGAATGGTATCTTGTTTTCCTCCTTGGGTTGCAGAGAATTCCTTTGTCAATACTTGAAGTTCGCCATTAAAGTTTCCCGCACCGTAGATGGGTAGGCACGAAAAATCTGTAGTTTCGGCTGGGTATTTTTCCAAAAAGACTCTCTTAACTTCATCGAGAAATTGAAAAGGGATACGACGTCCTAGTGCTGAGTCGGCTACCACAAGGTAGGTAAGTTCTCCAGCGGAGGCACCGGGTGCATATTGCGACGGAGAATCAGCGATAAAATGTATAAAATTAGAATTATGTGTGTAAGTGAGCTTGTTGGGCGTAGTATGAGAGATTTTAGGGAGAACGATTGATGCTAAAGAGCTTGCTTGAGGCGATGCTGCGGAGATATGCTCTGTGAGAATGGTTGAGTTGTGAGCTATACAAGCACTGTAGAAAAGGTTATTTATCAGTGAAAATTTCTAAAAATTTCAGGTTTAAAGAAAATTCCTTTTTTACTAACTAGATCAATTGAGAGGGAGTTATCTGAGAAGAGGACATTGTTGATTAGCACATAGTGGTAGGTACAATGTTCCATAGTAATGTCCGCACCTGTTTATATATGCACGTGACATGACGTTCATCAGCCCAGGTTAACAATCACAACTAATTTCTTCAGGCTGCATCACTAGAAAGATTTAAAAAAAATCTAAACACGGGCTGCGTCACGCCATAGCCACTTCTTAACCCATAACAATTTGTCTCCATCAATTGAGCCTATTCATGTTTCCTACTCCGAGCATGAGCACAAGATGCATCTTGTGTGCATTCCGAGAGCTAGAATCTTCCTCGGGGAGATCACTCATGAAAGAGAGGATCAGATTGAAGTCATTCGCAGGAAATCCAAGGCTTAAGTCCAATGTAAAGCAGCAAAGACACAGTTCCGGAAATGTTTGTTTCACTCTACAGTCTTCACCAAAATCCTACTAACCCATACGTCTTAGAGCTTTAGAAAGAGTCGTGATAACTTAGATTGCGATCGTAGAGAACCAAAACAGCACGGCCACTTACGGATAAGGCGTTCAGAACCACGCTGGATGAGAAGTGGATCAACATATGGTCTATTTGGAGAGCTCCTGCTAAATGAACTTCATCAACTTAAGCAATTCTTGACTGCAAACACCAACAAAACATTAGGGGAGTCATGGGGTATTCAATCAGCAAGAGACATGGAGCTAAAGCTATCTCAATTTCGCCACAAATTAATAGAGTGTATCTCTATGGCCGAAGAAAGAAGCTTATCAAAGACAGAAAATCCACTTTTTTATCGTTTTAGACAAGCATTTGTAGCGGGGAGCATCAATGCGCTAAAACAGGAGCTCAAATATTCATTTCTCAGCTCTGTGGTATCTAAAGATTTCTCACAGAAACAGGAAATACGGCTCGAAGAACTTGCCGACCTACGCTATCCCGCAGAATGGTATCCATCTACAAGGTCTCTTCAGCGAACTGTTCATCTTCATGTTGGCCCTACCAATTCAGGAAAAACATATCACGCCCTCAAGAGGCTAGAAGCCGTTGAGAATGGTGTCTATGCAGGACCTTTACGACTCCTTGCCCACGAAGTATACAGTCGATTTAACAATAAGGGCAAACTTTGTGGCTTAATTACTGGCGAAGAAAAACGTATTCCGCCAAATTTAGCTAGCAACATGTATAGCTGTACAGTAGAGATGATTCCGCTGAACGTGCAACTGGATGTAGCCGTTATTGACGAAATACAAATGTTGACCAGCCCAGATCGTGGATGGGCATGGACCACAGCATTACTTGGAGTTCAAGCTAAAGAAGTTCACCTCTGTGGTGAAACACGGACAACACAGATTATAAAGGATTTATGTGCACTTACGGGAGATACGCTCGTTATACATGAATATGAGCGACTCAGCCCCTTGGAAGTAGAAAAAGAAAGTATAAAGGGAGATCTCACCAAGCTTCGGAAAGGAGACGCCATAATTTTATTCTCTCGATTAGCGATACACGGCATGAAGCAAGGGATTGAGAAAGCAACTGGGAAGCGGTGTGCTGTAGTATATGGCTCATTACCACCGGAAACGCGCGCTCAGCAGGCAGCACTCTTCAATGACCCTGATAATGATTACGATTTCCTCGTTGCTAGTGATGCTGTTGGAATGGGACTAAATTTGAGTATTCGTCGCGTTATCTTTGAGTCTACCCTCAAGTTTGATGGTACAGAACGTCGGGTAATGGAAACTTCTGAGATAAAGCAGATTGCTGGACGTGCAGGAAGATACAAAACTGCAAACGATGATAAAAAGAAAGATATAAACAATGACAAGCAACCAATAGTTGCCTCGGGTCTAGATATTCCCGAAGCTTCCATCAAGGAATCTACGATGGGTTTGGTAACCACCTTAGCCCCATCAGACTTCAAAGTTGTCAAAAATAGCATGAAAATTGACGCACCGGCCATTAAAACTGCTGGAATAACACCCCCTGCGGAAATAGTGCTTCGGTTTGCAAGCTATTTTCCACCTAGCACCCCATTTAGCTACATTCTGCTTCGGCTTCATGAAATCTCCAGCACTGCTGCTCCCTTCTTCTTATGCGTACCACGCGACGAAATTTCAATTGCTGATCTAATACAGCCCTACGACATCCCAACTCGAGACCGTTTAACTTTCACCGCAGCGCCTGTTTCTACTCATCATACTGGTATCCCAGAGATCATCAAGGAATTTGCTGCGTGTCTAGCTGGTCAAAGTGGTGGTGAGTTATTAAAAATGAAAACATTAAAACTTGAACTTCTTGATATCGATATAAAAGATCACCATCAAGGCTCAAAAGGTTATCTAAGAGAAGCTGAAGCCCTTCATAAGGCCCTGACACTTTACCTCTGGCTAAGTTACAGATTTGCTGGCGTGTTTGTAAGTCAAACACTCGCATTTCATGTCAAAGGCCTCATAGAAGCGAAAATCGATGAGTGCCTTGCAGTAGCAACATATAATCCTGAGCGAAGAAAAAATATATCCGAAAAAAGTCGGGTACTCCAATCTAAGGAGAAAGCTGTTTTGGAGGCTATGTTAGACTCTACAGCTATCGAGGAGGACAAAAGATTCCTAAAAGTAGAGTCTAGTCCAGGGACAATACTGGAACCAACAATTGTTTGAGAATAGAAAACTAAGTAGATGTAGATAAAACCCTGATGTTCTAGCTTATTTCTGTATTTGGGATGATGGTGGCGCTTAGGCATTGTGTAAAAGTAATGAACGGGTACTATCAATACAAGCAACTCACTTGTTTCGCGGATAATTTTTAAAGCTGTTTGTTGGCAATACGGAATAGCCAGTTTTTTGCAGATCTCGTCCGCAGATAAAGTGGTGCCCCTTTGTCTAATTTGCAGTAGGTTTTCTGATTTATAATATCTTGTTTACATAGGGGATATCAGAATATATATTAAGGAAATAATGACCCCTCAGTCATTGAGGTTGTAGAGCGCATTGATTCAAGTAACTACCGAAGTGAAACCAAGTACAGAATTTGTAGTCATATGTGTACCAACAACGTGGCCTACTTGATAGCCCCTATTATTCTAAATTCTAACACTCCCCCATAGACTAATTGGGCGTATTCCTTGTCTTCCTGTATCTTTGCTTCGTTAGACGTTTGCTTGAATGATTAGTTGTCTGCTCCCAAACTGGTCTTTAAATTTGCGATGAATCAATCCAATAAATGTTTCCTTTGGAACTGATTCATCTCCTCTCATTTTCCCCCACGAACACCGTAGAGTCCTAAGCATTTCCAGAGTAACCTTTCAATTTGATGTTGTTAACTTCCAAGGCTCCCCCAATATTTGGCGTCTTAGTGTCAGCCTTTCTCAGCTCTCAAATACACTCCCCCAGTTTCCTAGCTGCGGTTGTTCCGTTATTTATTCCATCCAATTCACTAGTGTTCCATTGTCTCGTTTCCCTCTACAAGCAACATGCCTCACTAATGTATCCCTTCCAAAGACTTTTATCCAAGAGCGTACCATGTGACAGCTCTCTCATACCATCACCAAGCTCCACTTGGTTTTCTTTCTACCTTGCTTCGGTATTTTTGTCACCCATTATTCTTCTACTTTTTGACTTAATCTCCCCCACGACAATATAAACTTAAACGAAGATAGCCATTGAGAGGGTGTTAATGTTAAAGCCTTAGGCTATTGTAGAGACTTTTGTTGTCGAATAACTTGACTAGAATCCCTCTGCTTAGATAAATGCGAAGACTATAAGAAGGGAAGTCTTGAGAGTATAAATAGCAGCTTTCGAAGAGGAGCTACTGAGTTGAGGTTCGAATTGCTTTCGGAAATCAGCAGTGAAAATTTTGCGACAGCTTTCGGATAGGAACTGTCGGGTTGAGGATTCGACAAACTTCGGAAGAGAGCCGAGGAATTTAAATTAACAGCTGTCGTAAAGTAGCTGTCAGATTTTAATGTTGGGAGCAGCTTTCGTACTGTAGCTGCCAGGTTTATGTTCTTTTTTTTGGGTTTTTTCGGGTCGACTCATTTGACCCATGGGCTCTCTCTCTTAGAGTCCATCGACGGGCTGGCTACCGGTGCGTTTTGGAACCATCAATCCTCACGAGGTTTTCGCAGCGACCCCTTATCTTCAGTACTCGACCTGTGCTTTCCCTAACGAAGGCGATAACCTCCTATCTTCTCAGGCGACGGCCATTCACTTTTCTTTAGAGATTGCAACTCAAAGGCGATGGCCTTGTCTTGGGTTCAAGAAGGTGACAGCCTCCTAGTTGGATTAATTTGGCGCAAGTAGAGTATATGCCCTTCTACTTGCCCATAACGAAGATAGTATCAAACTCCGGGCGATACAACGTGATTGCGCGAGCGACAATCCGGGCTCATAACCTATTAAGGAAATAATGACCCCTCAGTAATTGAGGTTGTAGAGCGCATTGATTCAAGTAACTACCGAAGTTAAACAAAGTACAGAATTTGTAGTCATATGTGTACCAACAACGTGGCCTACTTGATAGCCCCAATTATTCTAAATTCTAACAATATAGAATGTTCTTAGCCAACCAGATCAGCATGCAACAAAGCCCTCTAATAACAGTAGATGGTATCAATCGCGTATCAATCGCGAATCTACTGTAACGGCCAGTCAGCCGATAATTACCATGTAGTACATGATAATAATCACGTTCCCTTAGAATTCTACGATATCCGGTACTTCATTTCATGATCGTATCATCTTTGTCAAAATGTCTTCCCCTCGAGAAGACAGTATATCATCTTTTGGACAAAGTCAGCCGCGCTCTCATCACCTATTAGAGCTGACTGCAACACAACAGGATCTATCCATCAAAATTAAACATTGACCGATACTTCTCGTCAATAAGTCTGAGCCCTAAATTACATGCTAAAACTACCTCATCCCCGTCCCTCACTTTCTCAACCGCCACTACTTGGCGATATGACCTCTGATGTTTAAATAGGCGAGACTTAACTGTCAAACAACAATTACAGCCCAGCTCAGCCCTTCTCAATACCACCACGTCCCAGTCTGGCCAGACCTCATATATCTCCTTCACTATTTTGCTACAAACGCTGTTTCATGGCTTGATAGACTTCCTTGCTAAAATTGCAGTAATTTTCAACACGCACCTCTCTGTGGACGAGTTTGTTCTCGAACAACACCTCCAACTGCTTGAGTGAATCATAGACTCAGAAATGAGAGGAGCCTTTAAAGCTATCTCAGTCGTACTGAAGGATTTAGTTGAGAAAATTCTCTAAGAAGAGACACCGAGCCGTTCTCATAAGACAAACACGACCCAAATCTCCCGAGACCCACAGGTAATGAACGATAAACTCAAGACCACGTCAAACCTAATGGAGATAACATAGATTCCTGAAATGGAAGCGTTCATGTTCGGATTAGGTCCTGGTCAACGATGTCTAGCCTAATTGTGCTATGTTGCAGGCTACTGTTACAATTATTCATGGGGTCATCATCAGGGTTGTGAATAGTTTCGGTTTGGTGTGGGTTGGTAGATTAATACCTGAGCGTGTCGCATAGTAGTCAGATGTGCGACTCGAGTAGCATATGCACGGTAAACCTCAACCCCAAACTGATGATACGAATCAGGTTTCACATGCTACGTCCTGTATGGTTAGCGTGGTTAGAATATGGGGAATTCACTTGTAGATAGATAAAGACGTTTTAGCCCTCTGATAGTTGGGACAAGTCTTCTACATAATTATATCGGAATCAATACTAGCTTCTCGTTAAGCAATCTTATGAATTACTTCCAATGTCTGTGATAACAGACGTACATATAAAAAGTCGACAATAAGTTTAAAGTCGATAAGTTCACAAGGGTGACAAGTCAGTACCAAGCGTTACTGTGCCGGCTCAAACGCCAAAACAGACAGCTTGGACTGAAGTAGTCCACTGGAAGCCATGCAGGATAAACCAGCCAACTTTAATACCATAACCGCTATTGACCTATAGAATAGTTCCGTCACAATAGAAGACAGACAACCAACAATCTACCGATCGCCCGCCCGGACGAGTGACTATTTTTAAAGATAGGAATATCTCAGCCATGACGGCATGTTACGGCGTGCTGTAGGGTAGATCGAGATCGCCGTTCGCCGAGGGTATGGAAAGGTCAAGTGGTGGATACTATAGAGATGGAAAGTCGACTAAGTACTATGGCTAGAATGAAGCGGGTTTGCGAGAGGAATTCAGTAATAATATTATAAGATTGTGAAGCTGGAGAACTACTTTGTTGTAGCTCCAGCTTCCTTAAGTACAAATAACTATCTAACATAATTCAACTAAGACTGTTGTAATTGTCGGAATATTTCCTATGGATTCTTTGTTTGTGTCACGGACGAGGACGAAGACAGAAGCTGATAATGAGGACGAGATATTTAGATTAATAATTAGATTCTAAAACATGAGTAATTTACAAGACAAAAAGCTATAGTACACATCTAGTCCTAGAGCTTCCTTAAGTACACGAGCTTCAATACTATAACCAAGGGTGTAGTAGTCCACAGCCATAACACAGTAACTAACTAGTGTTGTAATAAAACAGTTCTGCATCAGTATCGATGCAGGATCTCTGTCTGTGCACTACTACATGTAACTCTTAATTCACTTGTAACTAGATTCCATGTTTAATGTAGTCACTCCTGTTTCTTGTCTTAGTTGCGGGGGTTCACTAAAACACAAGGCTAAAACATCAATTGGATAACGTTGTCAAGTTGAGACATTGGCACGTACCTCATCAATCCCCCAACTTTCGTCATACCAAGTTTTATTCCTGTATATAGATGTAGTCTCTCCTACCTCCAGGGATCTTCAGTTCATTGTATTAACTGAATATCTCTGAAGGTAAGTCCTCTTACAGTAGTCACTCCAATATCATAGTTCATTGTATTAACTGAATATCTCTAAAGGCTATATTCATCGCTCCTCTCGTCAACTCCACAGCTTTACATCTAAAGCCCCGTTCACCTGCTCCTGTGCTCGAATACCACTCTTCCTTCCTCTCCAACAGCCCGAAATCCCTCTCGATCTTTAACCTCACAACAACTAGTACTCTGAATGGCAACTGTTGCTATCACAACACTGTAACCATTACAATACCTAAATTATGTTGTTGTATGCACTTCATAACTCGGTTGCCTGGGTGCGACGCGACATCCCAGGGATGGTTTGTGACAGTTTGAGGTAACTCAATAACAATTGTTTCATTCATTTGTATCTATCTTCATTTGTGACAGAGCGCTAGGGCCTTAATGACCTTGAACACTCGTCACATGATGTATGCTTACACAGCTATTACTAATTATTACCCATTTGTCATTACATCTTCATAATCATTATTACCACCAAAACTCGAGCATCCTTGTTTAATGCACATCCAAATAAAACTTGTGTCCTACTATTCGACAGTAGTTTCCCATCATAACTCAAACTGTGACCTCAACCATATCAATTCCAGTTGGCGTAGTATCTAGTCTCACCATATAAGTGCAAGTGTTGAGGGTGAGCCGAAAAACCTGTTCCGTGAACTTTAGCCTCAGGCCTTCTGCTTAGACTCTAGTTCAAGAATGTCTTGCCATGACACGGCATATGTTTTGCACTCTATCAAGTTGAGT